CCGAGACGCGGAACGTCGCCAGCCAAAGCCGTTGCATCTTCCTCTTTGCTTTGGGGGCTTCGGGGTTTTGCCGGGGGAGGAAGCAGCGGGGGGTTATACCAAGGAACAAAGCTGAAACCTGCTGAAATGCCCTCGGACCGCCCGACGCAGATCTCACGTGGGAAAAACAAGCCACGTCTCTTTTATGGCCCCCGTAATTTCTCGCCGGCGCTGCCCCGTGGCGTGGGAACGTCCTTGTCCTCTCCTTTCTGCCGGGGACGCGCCGGTTCGTGTACGTGCTCGCTGGTTTTGGAGGGGGGGATTTCTAAGTGGTGAGGAATCGGTCTTGGAAACCGCAGGAGGGGAAGGGAAGGAAAACCTGCCTTGCTACGAGGCTTCCTGGCTGCTTTCAGTATTTTGGCCTAATTAACGAGGGGTATGGGGGACGTTGGCTGCAGCTGGGGTGCTCGGATGCAAAGCCCCGCTGTCCATCCAACGTGACGTTTAACTCCAAGGCTGCCATGTGTAAGGAAGAGGGGAAAAATAGCTGGAAGATACGCTGACGGCGGGAGAAGAAAAACCCCAGGCCCGGCTGGTCCAGCCCTGCTTTGTTTTCAGGGTTACCGAGCTCGGTTTCGGGCAAGGATGGCTTCGCCCCGGGGGCGAGGAGCGAGGAGGCAGCGCTGCCGGCTGCCCTGTCCTTCCCTCCCAGCTGCCGTTGGAGGGGCCGTTGGTCTCCGAAGGGCATCCCGTGCTGCCCGAGGAGCCTGACGTCCGTGTGTTCTCTCCCTGTCTCCGCAGCCTACCCATGAGCTCGGATTTCCAGCATTACAGTTTCAGGATGCCGAACATCGGGTTCCAGAACCTGCCTCTCAACATATACATCGTGGTTTTCGGCACAGCCATCTTCGTCTTCATCCTCAGTTTGCTCTTCTGTTGCTACTTGATCAGGTAAGGGAATTTTCCCCGGCTGCTTTCGACAGCTGCCCTGGTTCAGAGCGAGCCCAGCACCGATACCTCCATCCCAAAACAAGGATGGCGTCGTCGCGTCTTGCCAAACTGATGTGAGCCATGAAGGAGGTGTCACTTTCCCTCCTCATCATGCTCAGCCCAACGTTCATCCCTAACATCCCTAACAGAGCCAGCTTTCTACAATGGCCTGACCGGCTGGGTAGATGAGGGGAGAGCCATGGATGCTGTCTGCCTCGACTTCAGCAAGGCTTTCGACACAGTCTCCCATGATATCCTCCTAGGGAAGCTCAGGAGATGTGGACTGGATGAGTGGTCGGTGAGGTGGATTGAGAACTGGCTGAATGGCAGAACTCAGAGGGTTGTCATCAGCGGCGCTGAGTCTAGTTGGAGGCTGGTAACTAGTGGTGTCCCTCAGGGGTCAGTACTGGGCCCAGCCTTGTTTAACTTCTTCATCAACGACCTGGATGAAGAGTTAGAATGTACCCTCAGCAAGTTTGCTGACGACACCAAACTGGGAGGTGTGGTAGATACACCAGAAGGCTGTGCTGCCATTCAGC